ACAGCCAAAAACATGATAGTGTGGTGAAAAAGACATCTTGTGTATTTTTTGTTACCGTTACTTACGTACTGACTACAACAAACTGTTTCCCTTTAAATCCAGGATAGTTGGTGACAGTTTCTAATCATCCCAAAGCCCCTGCTCGAAATGTCAATACTTTAATACTTAACATTGAAATGGTGACCATACAAAGTAGGTATTAGGTTTCTGATTATTAAACAAACGATATAACCACTCATCTATCCACTATTTTATAACCTATTGAATAATATGATCCATCTGCATAGAGCCATTCATATTATCATATGTTTTACACATTTTCCGTTGCAACAGCGCTAAAGGTAGCACTCACTTAACCACTGTTGTTTCATTCACTAGAGCTACATGAGCGTAGCATATGAAGTACATTCTATTGTGCAAGCAGAGTTGGGTTTATTAGATTTAACGCTTTGTTGATCTGTCGCGTAGCAACCACAAATCTGAGCATGAAAACATGTGTCGTTTGCTAAAATGCGCTCATGACATCAATATCCACCATGTTAACTGTGTTGTTCTGTTTGATTTATTTGTATGTAAAAGCTTTGAGTCTGTAATATTTTACGTAATATATCGAATTATTACGTTGATGGTTGAAGTAATTTAGTCTTTATAGCCACCTGTTAATCATCTACAGAATATCCGATATAGAGCCAATATGTGTTCCACAGAATTACTTATGATTGAAGAATTTTTCTCACGAATTGGGTTACATGTATTTTCAGTTACCATCCTAATCTTACACACTTCTACAACCACATAAGTTGAAGATAAAAAATAGCAAAATTGAGAAATGTTTCACTAATTATTTCAAAGAATAATTTTGGAATTTTACTTTTCTGCACAATGAAACCGTATTTAGTTGTGTGGTAGGCATGGAGCTAAAGCATGCATTCCTGAGCATTTACTTTTTTAGTTACCAGGAGTATAAATTTGTTACCTACAATAATGCAGGATTTTATTTTAATAGTTTAATAATATGTTCGTTTGAAAACATAAAAGACACGTTAGATCATTAAACAGGGAAAACGAAATATGATTCTCAATGCACATACAGTATTTCTTACTCCCTTTAGCTGTGCCGTAATTAGAATTGGCAGCAAATCCATCCGACATGTGTACAGTATGCTGAAAACTTGAAAGCAGAAAACTCGTGAATCCGATATTTGAGAATGTTGTAAGTGCATCTGCAAGTGGAGACGTCAAAAGAGCAATCAGGTTATAATTGACGGTCTACATGGAGGGCCAAGGGTCCTCTAGGTCCTCTACACCCTCTCCCCTACCTTCTAGAGGACCTCTTCAGCTCTTCAACAGTCAATAGATTACTCAACGCGTCATAAAAGAGATCATATTCGTACTACTGTATGTTCAATCTGCAGTAGCCGTAGTAGTCTTGCACTTACACTTGTTCCAGGAATACGCTTTTTCTGTAAAATATTTGATTTTGAAGATAAATTTATTTTAAAGTGGGATTAAGTTAAGGTTTTTGCAGAATTTTACCTTGTATAGTATTAGTATTTTTGGTTCCAGTACAGCTTACTGTTATGTACTGAATTAAAATTAACTAAACATAGTTAACTACTAGTTGCATGTACGGCAGGGGTTCCCAGAGGGGGGGTACTGTGGCGCGTTTGCGCCACAGGAATTTTTGGGGGGGACTTATTTTGAGATTTGGAGGGGGGGATATTTTTTTGCTAGCTGTCATAATGAATGTATAATTTTGTATAAGCAGTCCGAAAAAGTGTTTCTAAGTAGCTCACTATCACCAACAACAACATTTTGCCGTTCGTAATTAAGATAGCTTCTAAGAATGGTAAACACGGACCTTGCCAGACAATCCTTAATATACCAGTGTCGAATTTTACTTGCTACATATGTTTTGGTGGTTCTTTAACTCCACCATCGTCAGGATTTAAAAAAGATCCACTTCTGGAGGTGTCGTCAGAATACGACAAACATTTCATACAAAACACGAAACTATTACAGATAGGCCTGCCAATTTGTACATTGCCATCGGCAGGACTGGAAGTAGAAGTAAGTAAAGTAAACTGAATCAGGTTCAGGTTATGACGGACCGACGTGGTCTCTGGATTGTCGTCTGCGTTTTCAACAGCTGATATTGGACTATTGTAGTGACTGAGAAGAGTATTGAAAATATAATGGGATTCATAATTAATTGAGTTTTTTCACTAAAATATTTTGTGCTGTCAATTAATAGTTTTATGTATATTTCAAACTCCTCAAAGTATTTAATAAATTTCCTTTTCTGCAGTAATGTAGAATGTCGAGACCATCCAGAATATAAATTGGTTATTATTGTCAACTAGCTGTACCCGCGGGCTTTGTCCCGTTTAACTTCATAAGTATTCGCATGGCTCATTCAAGTCCTGGTTGAAGTTTGTTCGCTACGCTCACTCACCTTTAGGTTGGAGCTCGTTTGCTGCGCTCACTTGCCTTCCTTGTACCTTTAATGCTATTAGAACAGAACCAACTTGTTTAATTGAAACAGCTGTTAAGATTCATTAATTCCTTTTAAATATGAAAAACCATAAGGTTAACATGGGGAACTACAGAGCCACTGGGGCGGAGCCCGAAAGGATTTTTGGGATAATAATATGCTTTAATGTTAATCGGGAATGTGAGCTATCATCATGCCAAATTTCAGCCCAATCCGTCCAGTAGTTTATGCGTGATTGAGCAACACACACACACACAAACACACACACAAACTCACAAACTTTCAGATTTATAATATTAGTAAGATAAGATAAATTTGAATGGAAAAATCAATTATGAATCCCATTATATTTTGAACACTCTCCTCCGTCACTAGAATTAGTCCAATTTCAGCTTTTGATAACACAAACACCAATCCAGAGACCACGTCTTTCCGTCATTACCTGATTCAGTTTACTTCCAGTCCTGCCCGCGGCAATATATATACACGCGTGAATTGATAGGCTAGGCCTATCTGTTATCGTTTCGTGTTTTGTGTACAAACGGATTGTCTGACAAGATGCGTTTCTACCATTATTAGTCATAACAGGCAATCCTGGGGCTATCAAAATGAATTATAAGATTACTTCGTCACAAAAACCTTTTGTACTGGTGGCAATTATTAAGAGATATTGTGGGTATTTTGCCCGGCGATTTTTGTAGAAGGCAGCCTGGGAGTGGCGAGCAACAAGTCTGTCTTATTTCGTGACTCTGCCTATAATTGTGAAACAATAATATACTTTTTGCCAAAGTATTATTAATGCACTTAAAGCTGTTTGAATTCTTAAGCCCTGTAAAAATTAACGCCACCTAATATTGTACAGTTAAAGTACTGTGTTGGAGTAGAGTAATTCACCGAGTAGACCTATATATTGTTGTACGTTTTGAAGACGTTGTCTATTGCAATACTGAGCACACATATTGGCTGACATTACAGATTCAGAATTTTAAATTGAAAAACTTCTAATTCGTCCATTAGTTAGATTTATATTGATGTATTGTTAAATGAAGTTTCATATTAAACATTTAATTTTGATTATCAGCAAGTTTTTTTTCGTTCCTGCTTAAGTTTACTAAATACTTTAAATGCTTGTATTATGAGGTAAAGGGAAAATTGTCAGCTAAATTGGTGAGGGGAGGGTAGGTTTAAATAGACGGCAGCATAAATTGGGGGGGGGACTACTCCTTTGGCTTGGGGGGGGGGATTGCGCCTCTGGGTTTGGGGGGGATGGGCACCTCTGCATGTACGACATTAGAGGAAACATTTACATGAAAACATCACTGTTTCGAAGCAAACTGATGAATTACATATTGTCACAGTCGTTTTTCTATTAAAAAAATGTTATAAAATAGGACTAGTCCCTGTTAAAAATAATCAGTGAAAAAATTATTTGAGTTCTTAAATATAAAATACCAATTCTCATTGTATAAAAAACCTGCTAAAACTCATATTGTTACCACGTATTAGTACACAAGCTCATAAACTAGTGTCAACGGAGGAATTGGTCACTGTAACATTGGTTTAAGCATCAACCTCCAAGAACTCAAACATTCTCTAAACTTTAGTCGAAGCACAAAAAGCATTTGGTTTGCCCAAATCTCGCCAAACGCAGATCACAGCGATATAGGACATCAGGGAGGCGGAATGAAAGGAAACAGGTGAACGATCAAAGTTTCCAACTGTGCAGGAAGATGTCATTAGGCAGATTGTGGAGGGGATTGTTTAAAAATAATGATGCGCCGTTTGGGGCGAGACTTGAGTTGGCGACGCGAACCATAATTGGAACCATTTGTTGTCACGTCATGAGATATCTTAACAATATTCATCTTTCAGAATGAATTGGAAGGATTGAGCAACGTCATTTCGAAATGTTTGTAAACAGACGCATGTTGATGTTTCAGGGTTTGATTGAATTTGAGGTAATTTCTCAGTAGGTGCGTACATGTTAAGGTTTATGATTTTTCGTTAGTCGTACTTTTCAGAACAGAAGCCTGCAAATTCAGTCAATTCAGAAGTGAATTTGAACTCCTAATCTTGAAAATAATTGTCATATTTCATGTTAGCAGGGACTGAAGTATAAACTTGTTTGAAAGTTCTTTTTAACAATTTAATTCAAAGTACTTAAGTGTGAAGTTGTAACCACAATCATTAGGAATTTAATGATATGATAGTAATGTACTAGATCGTATTCACGCATTTTGCGAACTGTTTACGGAAGCTACGTAATCACTAGATCACTGTATCTTATAATAGCGAAGTAAAAAAACCTAGTCTAGCTTAAATATAAATTAAAGATAAACGTGTGATACGTCGCATACCTTTTTATTGACCTATATGTAAAAAGGTTCTTTAGGCAGGACATTCGGAGCAGCCAAATGATCAAGGATAACTGGGCCAAGTCTTTACGTCCTGTAGAAGGAAAAGAAGTACTTATATTTAGCTAACAGTGTACTGACTCTTGTTGCAGGTGTCTGGTGGGGAGACGTCACTCAAGTCTCCAGCAGATCTGCGTCCAGCAGACCTCGTGTCCAGACTGCTAGCAGCCACACCACCCTACCTCTACACGATGCCGCTCACGAACAGCTTCTTCTTCAGTGAAATGCTTCGCAGCTTCGTCCAGGCTCGCAGCTCACCCCAGGGGCAGCCCCGCCGCGGTCGTAAGCGCTCGTGGAAGGAAGCTCGACCCTCTCCTAATGACAAACCCCTAGAACTCACTACCCACCCCAAACCACCTCCGTCGCCCCCAAAAGCTCCAGAAACTCCTCCGAAAGAGCCACAGAACTTTCTTCTACCTCCGAGTAATCTTCTTCCTCCGATACCAAACAACGAGCAGATCCTCCCCCCTCCAACCGCACCTTTGTGGTACCCCCCGATGAACATGTACCCTCCCCCACCTCCCCAGTGTTTCGACCCTCACTTCTTCGTGGACCTGCGAGTATCAGGACACATCTGGGACAGAAAGGTGGAGAAGGATTCTCCTCCGCTGGAGCCATTGAATTTGCAAACAGACGAAAAGAAAAACGGTCTTAATTTATCCTTTCGAAAGCACAATTCAGCGTTCAGTGTACCCCAACCGAGAGATCAACCTGAGCGTAAATGTGAAAAATCGCCGTGTGGCACCAACTACGTTCTCAACAACCTAGATAAGATCTACAAGGACGTGAAGACGAAGCAGGAAATTGGGGAGAAAGAGAAGGATAAGGACGAAGAAGAGTTGACTCCGGAGGAGAAGAAGGTGAGGGACCTGCGAGCTTTGATTGGACTGGAGCTGGTGGTGGACTATGTGAAGCAGGAAGATTCTCCGGGTGGTCATTCTGGGGACAAAGAGGATGATGATGAGACCTCGAGACTGAGCGACTCATCAGACTCCAACCAGGAGCCTCTGGTCATGGACTGAATCTCAACATTTACTCTCCCCTCCGTGTGTTAGATGACTGTCTTCTACCTCACTTGTTCATTTGGCAACACGTTTTGTCTAAAGAAATTTGCTTTCCATCTACTAAAGAAACTCCGTTCTTGTAAACTCTCTTGCTAACCTTTAAAAATGCAACTATTGTAAAACATTTTGAATTGCTTGAAATAGTTTGGATTACAAATCTATCATTGCTTGTGGTTGATAAAACTTAAATGTTACTTCGACGATTAGGACTATGCTTAATATTTACGATTGGACATCCTCTCTGATTGGGGATTGCATTGGTTAAAATTAAATATTTACTGATTTAATTATTTGTGTAAGAACCTTTCAAAATAACAGTCTTCCAAATAGTAATGATTATAATTTTCAATACGAAACAAAGCGTAAAATTCCATATTGCACTTTAGAGATCAAGTGCTTGACATCGCCAAAATTGCGTAGGTAAAATTGGTCAATATTGACTTAGGATATGCAAAATTTGGTGAAATGGTCAATCTATAATACCTAAGCTAGGTATTGTTTGTTAAACTACTCCAACTAATTTTTAGTCAAACCAAGAGCTAATCATAAAAATGCTCTTTTTGTTTGAGAAGCATTTTAAGTATATTTATTGTTTCAAAACAAAGCGAACAATTTGGACAAAACAAATTAATCATTAGATTCATAAATTTTTTGTTTGTTTGGTCTTCTGCTGGTTAAAAAATGTACAACTATTGACATACTTTGTAAAAAATATATATGTAACTAAGGATGACATTAGCCCAAATATTGATAGTTGTTGGCAAGGTAAAACTATTACTAAGAAATTGTACTCCGAATAAAAAAGTACAGTAAGTATTATTAATATATTTAACTAGGGTCTGTTTCTAAGTCAGTTAATGCAATATACAACAATCTGTGTTATTTGAATCACATAACGTTTTGTATTTATCACCATTCCAGTTGTTTATCGTTGTACATATATTATAGTTACCAACCCTTAGATGTAAATACTTGTCTATAAATTATTTCTTCCAAACGTGATAATAAAAAATAAAATAACGATTCGTCTTTTTATTTTCCCAAAGACAGTTTAAAGTCTTAGTAAAATGTTCATGCTTTAATCCCATTTTAGGAGGACCTTCGGAAGAATAAATGAACATGAGGATTAAAAACGCTCTGATGCAGATTTTTTATCCCCGTCCCGGATAAACGTGCCGCGTTTGTCATGCAATATTCCCACCCTAGGTGTGATATGGGATGTTAATTGAAGCGTTATGTATATTCATGTGGTTGCGGTATTCCCCCCTCCCGTCTACCCCTTTCTATCCCTCCCAAATTCCCAAATCTGTTGCGGATCAAGATGACAATAGTGATCTGTAATGCTTACAAATTTCCGCAAGACTGCACCAACTGAATGGGTTCAAATTTTACGGTGAATAGTTCGAGGAAGAGTTATATTTCAGGAGTTTTTAAAGTACAATATTATTGAGTTATTGTTAATACAAATTATTTTTCGTCTACTGCAATAAAAACTGCATGAGGTCAACGTCTTATAGTCTCCATTATGTAGAGCGTTTTTTGGTTATGTTTTGATTTTGTGCAAAATTTTACTATAACCAGCTGTTTCAAATATTAGTGTCAATTTCAAAGTATTCATCTGTTAAAATGTAAACAAACATTTTCTCCCTTAAGAATAACATGGGAAGTCCGAAGGCCACTGGGGCAGAGCCCTGATGGAGTTCTAAAGTTTTTTTTGTTTGATGGCAAAACTACATGCTAAGACCTTTCTAACGACACCTTGGACATGGTGATCGGTGGTACCACCTCTCCAAAACAATTATGACCAAAATATGCCTAGCGTATTAAATATATAGATTTTTCCATTATTTTTGTGATTTTTTTGGGGGAAGTCACAGAAGTTGCAATGACTTTTGAACCGTAATTTACAGGAATGGGGTTTGTACCATTTTTTATTTGAGGTGAGGTTATCAAAAGTAAATATTAATAATTGGTCTCCATAGAAACATGAGAGAATTCACAATGTTTACCTTTGCATTGACATTTTAATGTAAACAATCAGAACTGCCAAAGGCTTATTTCATAATTTCAGAAAGCTGATCCATAAGTTTAATAAAATATTTTACACGGCTATGTGATAGGTTTATTTAATCTAACTATGTCATTGATTATGAAAAAAAGCTTTTATAACCGTAAGTTATGAAAATAAAAGTATATATAAAACCATCATCAAACCAGTTCTCCTGTTTGGACCAAAAAATTAGATTTTAAGTAAAAAAAAAAAAAAAAAGAAAATTATATAGTATTTGAAAACAAAATATTGAGAAGAGTGTACGGGTGTAACAATTCAATATTTCCACTTATATTTTTAATAGAATGATTTAACTTTCACCATATGTTTTCTTTGTATCAATATGTCAATTTATCAAACCTTGTATAATATATGACCAAACAGACCAATGGGTAATTGATTCGAAACAATATAATATAGAAATTTTCAAATAACCTAATTTCATAATATATAATAGCCTATAATTTTTGTAACAAAATTGCTTTAAATTCAATATAATTTTATTTAAAGAACTTTTCAAAAGGTGTGGAGGTAGTGTGTTGGGGAGGCCAATTGCCATGTGGGATACAGCAGTTAGTAAGTAAGTTATGAAAAATAGTGTTATTGATATATTTTCATGTAAACAGTTGGACTACAATGTAGGTTATAATTTTTTTGTATAAACTTTTGGTGGTTTTTTTTTTATAAATTCGAACAAGTGTTTGGATTAGGTGGTCTTCCCGTTGCGCAGCACGGGTACATCAGCTAATGATATAATAATTTTTTATAAAATCGTTAATCCAGTTTTTATTTGAATCCGTTGTCCCCATTATTTACCCCGGGGGTTTTATGAACATTTCAATTGTGAACAATATTTGGGAAATATGTGTGAAAATGTCTGGACTTTTAATGATGACAATGACAACTTGAAGCGTGTGAAGTTGTTCGTAGAACAGCCCCAGTGGATTCCATACATTTAGCTTATCACCACTATAACTCACTAAATATAAATTTATTATCGCAATCTACAATTAACTTCAAAAAATATTCGGATTCTGATATCATCACTAGGCTACAATATTGTTGATCGAGATTACGCTATTGTAAAACCTTATAGATCTATTTTGAATGCATTAACACGATACTTGTCTCTTTCCTTTATTTCTATATAGCCATTTACTTTGTCATATCTATAGTTCTAAACAATGTAATACTAGCACACAAAAAGCAGACATCAAGGATGGTTTTGTAGATACATGTCATCACACAGCCCGATCTCCATCCCATACACACAGTGTATTGGACCCCCTTCCACCCCCTGCATATCGTCTGATTTGTTTGTTAACGTCGTCAATATCTGTTTTTGTGACTACCTCTTTCTCTCCCTCGTTTTGATACCACGCGATACAGAGCTTGAAAAGTCACACTCGTTTTGGTTTTATTATTAGTGATAGTAGAGAATTAAAGTTTTTACTGATCACGTGACTTTTTAAATAATCAACCCCGAAAGCAGCGCAGTAGGCTACGATATATAATTTTGAAGTGTTTTAGTATGTAACAAAGGCAGTTGCACAAGCAACATACTTTAGAGACATGTTTTATGATAAATAAACATAGGCCTACACAAATATTGCAGATGATAAAATGCTCTAAAGGGAATTATGTTAAAGAGAGCTTAGATTCATTTTACAGTCTAACTTTAAAACTAACTAGTGGCCCATAGGAGCTATAAGCTGCCCTTCACCGTTGTAAGTGCACATTTCCTACAATATTGTACTCACCTTCGTAGTCGCAGTCTTCCCTACGATAGCCTACATTTCAGCACTCCATTACCATTCTAACCTAAATACAGAACACTAAAATAAAAATAATAACAAACAAATACGCAACGTTAACATCAGCTGGTATATTTAAAACAGCTTATAGAAACACTTTAGCAGTGTACTTCCATAAAAAAAATTACTGGATCTTTGACGGCCTGTTGGGCAGAGCAGGGGTAGTTTTTGACACTTCTGATATTTTCCACACCGTCCTTGAATCTTAAAAATGAATTCAATAGCTTTAAAATGAATCTCAACAGCCATGCTACCTTTTTCCTAGCTCGAGATATTTCGCGGGGACCGAATTGCTTACGTAATTAAATATATAGATAGAAGATAGCTGGGTAACACAGAGGATAGTGAGTCGATATTTTAAGTTTTTTATTATTACGACTCTGAGGGATTTAGAAGTACTTTTTGATGGTTTGGATTTCAGCTAGTCTTAAAAATTTGGCTTGTATTAACTTAAGAGCTGGCAATGAAACAGATTATCTGACCAAAGCCTGGCTTGGTAAAAATAATATACCTCATCATCGTGACCCAAGATGATAATCTAAATATATAAAAGGCAAAGCCCTCACTGACTCACTGACTCACTCATCACCAATTCTCCCACTTCCCATTTACCTAGGAGGCTGAAATTTGGTACACTGATTCTTTAGGCATTAAATAGGAAAACTATGTAGTTTTTATTCTGATCGGACTCTCGGGCTCCGCCCCAGTGGCTCTGGAGTTTCCCATGTTAACCTTATGATTTGTCATATTTAAAAGGAATTAAAGAATCTTAACAGCTGTTTCAATTAAACAAGTTAGTTCTATTCTATGATGTTCAATAGCATTAAAGTTACAAGGATTACCAACAGGGTGCAGCACTATCATTTTTTTTTAATTTATGACAACAGCTAATTTGCAAGCAAAAGGTGAGTGAGCGTAGCGAACGAACTTCAACCTGGAGGCGAGTTAGCGTAGCGAACGAGCTAACCTGAAGGCAAGTGAGCGCAGCGAACGAGCTCCAACCTAAAGGTGAGTGAGCGTAGCGAACGAACTTCAACCAGGACGTGATTGAGCCATGCGAATACTTATGAAGTTAAACGGGGCAAAGCCCGAGGGTACAGCTAGTATATTTATATTTTCGTGGTAATATACCTCGTTTAAAGTGAACGAGGGTTGAAAAGACATGTTTCGCCTGTGGTATGAACTATATTTTTCGTCATATTGAACAATTGGCAACTGAGATACAATACGAAAATACTTTTCATGTAAAGATTTAACCTCTCAAAACAACTTTCTACTTGTTTTTAATTTTGCTAATGCAAACAAACAGCAAGTGATTCAATAATTCTACGTCTATTACGATTAGGATTGTGTTGTACATATACCATCGATATCTCGAACTATTGACAAAAATGCAACATACAAATATGCTACAAACCATCCAACCATACATGCGATTGTTTACAGAATATATGAGTAGTGATTTTTAGTAATTAAAACACTGTGGTATCTAAAATGGTGTACGCAACTCGCATAAATAGTGTTAACGATACTCGTAGAAATGTTTTATGCACACGCCTAGGCCGTACATTCAACTTGCGTCGTTAACCCTACCTTTACGCAATCGTTGCGTAAACTATTATAAACATCGGAGACTGATTTGGCATTGGTTTTAATTAAATAAAACAGGTTTGATAATTTTCAAACCGTTTATATTAATAAAACTGTTTAAACATTAATTTGTAAGGTAAACTAACTTAGTCTTCTCAAAGTGCTGCATTAAGAGATGTGCAAATAACGATTATTATTTGGATGACAAGGAGAACACCATAAAACACCCATAACACAGCCATAAAATAGGCTATAAAGTCTGCAACCGTCGAGGCACAGATTTGAGCACCAAACCAACATTCTTGTGGTGGTGATTGTCATAGCATGGCATGTCTAACTCTTTTTGAGATGTGTAGGAAACACTTAAAGCAACATCAACAAAATTAATTCAAAGAGCTCCAAATAAAACAGTATTCTCGTCAAATAAATACCCAGTGAAAACATTTAATCACAAAATACATTATGACGTTTTGAAATCTTAATTTTGATTCCAAGAGTATCTTTTAGTGAATTATTTAATTTTAGTGAGCATCGACAAAAAGGACTGTAGTTAGAATTTATCGGATCAACTTATATTTTGAATTTAGTTGAAGTCCAGTATCATAATAAATAGACCAATTCGTTTACTACAAGGAAAAAATGTGGTTCGGATTCCACTATAAACTGTAGGTCCCTTAGTTGCCATTAGCTGTTTGGGCTATTAATTAACAGCTGTGTCTAAGGAATGTCGGCCTTAGTCACTAACAAGACTACAAGATCGCGCCACTCATCCTACACTCATCTCCATTCATACTTGGCTTAAAATACCTACATAGTATGGTCGCCATTTCATAAGAAAGTATAAAGTATAAAGTAAAGTTAAAAGATTCAATATTTTTGTCTATGAATATACCCAGTCTGCCACAAATAGGCCGACTATAGTCTAGAGGTATTCAGCAGAGAATCGATCAGCCTTAGAGTTTTTTTCCTGCTGGAGAATAATGCTCTTATATCCAGAGGAATGTCCATGCAGCAAGAGGCCATACACGATGTAGGCGTGAAACGTGAAAGATTGCAAATAGTTCACTTTGATGATGCTTCTTAAAGGTTTTAGATGTCTAAGTATAAAAGTCACCCGAGCATGTTTAAGGCAGTTTTTGTCTTAATGGCTCATCCAGGTAAGTTTCAGTTCTAGGGTGAAGCCCAGAACACAATGTAGTCAATGCCAGCATCTTAATTAACCTCATTTAGGTCATTTTGTCAAGCTAGAGCTGAGACTGCACGTAATTGCTTAGGTATTGGCTTCGTTTAGGCTTAGTTTATTTGACGAAAACAACTGCTTTATAATACTGCTTAGCAACACTGAAGGTGTCAGATACTCGCTCCTGGGATACCCTCTGGGTTGTTTCTGCTGGCAAAGATGGTATGGTGTCGTCAGCAAAAAAAAAAGAAAGATATGTGTTGCCTAACAAACCAAAAGATCATTTATGAGGACTAGGCACAGGGTAGGATCCGATTACATAGCCCTGAAGCACTCCAAGCTTAATGGCCAGCGGGTTTGCATTTGCCCCGGGGCAAATGCAACACTTGATGGCCATCAAGTGTTAAAATTTGCCTCCTACCGGACAGATAGTAATTGAGGGTGGAAAGTACTTGACCATTTAGACCGTAGGCTCAAAGTTTTTTGATCAGTATAGAGTAGGTTACGTGGGGTGAGCGCCCCACAAATTATCCATGTTATTCCAGGCGCATCTGCTTCCATATATGTGAGCTTTTAAAACCTGTTTTTATACTTAGTGTTTTTAGAGTGTTCTTATACCTAATAATAATAGAATACAAGTTTACTATTGACCTAATCTTACCTTACCTAACCTGACCAAACCTAACATAACAGCTGGCTCTCCGTACTTGGACATGTGCCGTGGGGGACCCGAAGTGACCACCGCGCGGAGTTGGGATACGCCACGGCCGCCTTTGACTACAGGCCGCGGCCTGGTTGAATTGACAAGGTCGCAAGTGGTGTTGTTTAGTGACAGACGTCCCATAAGATAACATGGCAGACAGGTGACATCATCTTATAAATTTGCACTTTATTGATTTAAATTTAAATATATAAGAACATAAATTTTATTAAAATGTTAAAAAATAAAGCATACAGAATTGAAAACCAAAACAATATGATTTAAAAATCTAGATCTGTACATTTTAAGTAGAGTCAATATGGTCATAGTCCAGTAACCAATCTTTCGTAAATACACAAATACCATTAGCTGCTTCCAAACAAAGCAGCTGTTACAACACCACTTGCGACGTTGCCACTTCGAAGGCCGCGGCCTGGAGTAAAAGGCGGCCGTGGATAAGCCCTACCATAGAGGCTCGTGTTAACCTAGTCACTTTTGCTTCATTGAGCAGACCCATACAAGATTTATCGCTTCGGCGATCACACTAATAATTTAGCCGCGGTGCTCCTCCACTCGGCGCTCGCAATACGACACCATAGAGTATGGGTTACACAGTCGAAAGCCTTTCTCAAAACTGCAAGAGTTAGTGCAGTGGATTCCTTCCTTGGCCTCAAAAGGGCCGAGCAGAGTCACGGTCACCTTAAAGGCGGCCGTGGCAGAGAACTGAGACATAGCTGTAACAACGGCCACCTTTAAGGCGCCCGTGGCTGTAATGGTTGACCTCCCACACCATCGGACATTAACATTAATAGCATATAATAGCAGTAATAACAAACGTCTATGATACATCATAATGACTGCGGACTGCGCAGACGCTCTTTAGTGCAACAACTGTTTCTATGACTGATATAGTCCTCGCCACCCTAACTTGAGGCAGCCCAAGTTCGCACTAGATATACAGCGTGGGGCCTTGGGCTGCCTCAAGTTAGGGTGGTGAGGACTATAGTTTAGAGTAAGAATTATGTATTAGATGTTTATGTTGTCATTCACTATTCACATTTTTTGTTACATGTGTACACAGTGTGTGTACATTACTTAAGGATCTTGTGGAGAACGATATTGGCAAGGCTGTGATCACTGCTTATGACGATTTTGTCGGCTGAAAAAAGCTGAAAGATGGCAGCTCCCATCCATAAACACTGATGACGCTATCGCTAAAGTTTTTCTGAATTACCATTTTACTGTAGTGAAAGGTGTTAAAATCAAATATTTGTGACATTTAGAAGTATATCTTCTAATCGTAAATCAGTTCGATTTTAATTTTGTTGTGTTGTGAGACAGAGTTCATCATGAGTAGAAGGAGACCTCATGAAGAAGATGATGGATACGGTAAATATAAGTTAATTTTATTATTCCAGGTACAATATTGATAGTAACGTTACTTTTCACAATATTTCACATTGTAGGCCTGAATGCAATAAACTCAGAAAAAGTCAATATTCCAAATTCATTTTACGTCCTAAGTAAGTTTAAACTTAGCTTAAGTTAGGTAAGTTACTAGGCCTATTTACTTACCGGTACTAGGCCTGCTCATGGCCTACTAACTGTGTTGAAAAAGTAATCAACAGCCTAAGGCCCAGCGCACACGGTGTGACTATTTTACAACTTTTTTGTGACCTCGGCAGTCGGCAATGTATTGCAGTGGGGAAGCGCACACGACGCAACTGGTTGTATGCGATTTCAAAAAATGTTTGAAACCTCACATACAACTGTGGGCCCGACGTTGCAGTTGCGTTGCAGACTTCAGTTGCACGAGACCACGGGGTGTTTTTGTGGTGTTTGGTGGTATTTTGACAGCCTTATAGGCCTAGTGTTTTTAGTGTTTATAATTTCCTATCCGACTAGCCTAGCTCTAGCTGCTACAAACAGCCTAGTACTAACAGTCTTGCTCAAATGAGAGTGAACCCAATGCTCTCTCTGTACCCTTCGCTGTCTTCGGTATTGATAACAGCTAATAACGTCTTCTTCGTCTGATTCCGACGTAGTAACTTAAGCGTATAAAAGCGTATATTAAGCCTTAAAACAACGTAACTGCACTAAATTGACACTCCACTGATTGCACAATAGACGCAACTGTAGTTGTAAAACAGTCACACCGTGTGCGGATTTATTACAAAGAAATATCTTTGAAAAACTGCAAAGTTTTCAAAAATTGTGCGGGCAGAAGCTTTGTTTCAGTTGCAAACTGGTTTCAGACACATCTTGTTTGCAACAGTTGTTGTAAAACAGTCACACCGTGTGTGCTGGGCCTAAAGCTACAGTACAGTTATCTCATCATGTAGGGTAGAAGGGGGGAATTGGGTATTAGGGGTAATTGGGTATGAACTTTTTTGAATTTTTTTAAAAAATACATGCCTTTTATTAGAAAGAATTACAAAATCTGTAGTGATAGCTAGTTACGGTATGTTTTATAAACCTCAAATTTATTTTAGGTTGTTATCTTGAAATTGAAACGAGTTAAATAAACGGTATCAGCATTCTGACACATACTTTCTCCCATAAGTTTGTCAAAAACCTTTATTATGTGTAAGTGGTGAGAGTAAATAACTGTATACGCAAATGAGATTAAATTTGTACAATTTTGTTCAGAATTTAAAGGATTATAACATGCTAAATTTTTTTCAAAATCGTTCGGGCCATTTTTGGGGAAATCCGATTTTTCTGTTATTTTAAGGGGGTTTTATGGTAAAATGACATAATTTACAATAACTTTTGAACCGTAATTTTTACAGAAATGTGATTTGTACCCTACCATTTTGTTCAGAATATAAAGGACTATAACATACTAAATTTTTATCAAAATCGTTCGGGCCATTTTTGGGAAAATCATATTTTTTCGTTATTTTATGGGGTTTTTATGGGAAAATCCCCATTAAAAATAAAAATGTCCAAAAAATTAAAAAAAAAACTATCTAAACTGTAAGGAGTATAACATAGGCCTACTATGTTAAATCAAAACCGGATGTTTTTCTAAAATCCTTTTTTTTTGTTATTTTATGGGGTTTTTATGGGAAAATAACATATTTGACCATAACTTTTGAACCGTAATTTTTACAGATATGGGGTTTGTACCATTTTATTTAGAATTTAAAGGGCTACAACATACTAAATTTTTATCAAAATCGTTCGGGCCATTTTTGAGAAAATCTGTTTTTTCCGGTTTTTTATGGGTTTTTATGGAAAAATTCCCATTAAAAATCAAAATTTCAAAAAAATGAAAAAAAACGCCTGGAGATACCATGGATTAAAACCTACATACCAAATTTCATCGAAATCGGACCACAGGTGTGGTCTCTAGCTCTGTACACATCCAGACACACAGACACACACACACACACACACACACACACACACACACACACACACACACACACACACACACACACACACACACACAGACATCACTTCGAAAACCACTTTTTTAGGTCCAGTGGGACCCAAAACGAATATATCCACTCAAAACTCAAACTCGAAAATTTTGACGAAAACAATACTTTCTCCATATACTATGGTATAGGGGGAGAAAGTAAAAATAGTTTGTTCACCCCTTACGTTTTTCAATTTTTAAAGTGCCTATCAAACTTGGCCCGAGTAACCTTGGAAACACTATAAAAATTTCAGTTACTGCAAAATATTTACTTTTATCTCATAAGAGCAAAGTATACATATACTAGGCCTAATAGTAATTTTCTGAAGTTTAGGAATTTTTAAATTGACTTTTAAGTGTATTTTTTAGGGGTTGAAAATGTTAGTACCCAATTGCCCCCTCATGGGAAAATGGGTACTAGATTTTTTGCCTGATAACAATACATCTGTTTTTTTTTTTTTTAGTTAGAATAACTTATGCTTTTAGGGGGTAGTTAAGAATTGCTTTAGGTTGGTATGACTTCTATGCATTGAATATTAAAGAAATTATGGCTTAGTACCCAATTGCCCCGTAACATCGGCTTAGAGGCAGAAGACCAAAAAAGTTTTTCAAAGTTTAGTCTTCTTATAACTTTTTTTTTGTAATAAGTTAGAATAATCTAACTTGTTTTATGTTTAAGTATGTCTAAGAAGCTACAATTAAGTTAATACAATTTTTACAACCCTAGGTTATAAGGATTTATTACAAAGAAATATCTTTGAAAAACTGCAAAGTTTTCAAAAATTAACTTTAACGCTCTATAAAATTGTCAAAAATAATGATAAGAGACTAAAACTTGTCTCAAAATGCTTATTTGTGTTTTCTTAATAACACCCATTTTCCCAGAATTTTTAATAGGTCATTTTAATGTATAATAGGTGTAGTACCCAATTCCCCCCTTTGGGGTGATTGGGTATGAAATATATATATATTTTTTTATAGAACAAAACCACTTGCAGGTCTGAAAATAAGTGAAAAGATGTCTATTGGAAGCCTTTAAATGAAGGCATAAAAGTTGTAAAGTGATTCAATTTGTTTTAGCATACAAAGTACATTTTACAAAACCTAGTACCCAATTCCCCCCTTCTACCCTACATTAAGATAAGCCTTCTGAAATAGCTTGAAACATAGCTTATAGCTTAGCCTAACTTATTCTATAAGTTACTGTAGGCCTACAGGGAACTTGGAATGGGGGATAGGGAGTTAAAATCAAAGCAGGTCTAATGAAATTCAACTGATTGGCAAATACTTTGAATACAGTCACATCCCAATTCTTTTGTCTCTGGGATTAGGGCCATTTTACACGAGGCCACTGGTTGCCCGTCACAGCTTAAAACATTTTTACAAATGGGGGCTTTCAGACGAGAGGCCACTGCAGTTGCCCGTTAGGACACAGTGGCCGAGCATTGTCCCCTCGAGCAATTGCTAGCGGCAACTGCAGTGGTGGCAACTCGTAGCGAGACATTGATTTAAATGGGAGCCTTCATACGAAGCCACTAAGTTAGTGCCCGCCACCGTAGAACCGCACTCATTAATTATTTTGGGTTAAACAGTCATTTCACTTGCAGAAATAGACATTAGTTAAGGTGCATTGTCCCTGAAGCGACTCTTGCGATAGTAGCTGAGCGACAGTAGCTCAGCGATAGTAGCTCAGCGATAGTAGCTAACCATGTCATTGTCCCAGAAGCGATTGTTCTAGAGCGATTCTGTTCATTAGTTTGCTGACTTTCGAGTGAATTGGTGCTACTGTATAAGTGCCATGACACCAGCTAATTTTAAAACGTTTTTATTAGCTCACTTTCTTGTCCGGTAAAAACTTTGCAATCAATAACTAACTTCCCGACGAGCTAGAGAATTGAAACTTTAAAAATAGCTCACAAATGGATGACAATACAATACTATATCATTTAATTTTCATATTTCCCTTGGGCTAAGCCCCATGGGCTTCCAATTTTTTCATGTTTAAATTTTGGAAGAATGTAGGCCTAAATATATATATATATATTGAAGTCCTCTGTAAATACTAAAATTTGACAGTTCGAAGTGCAGAGGTTAAGAGGTACAGGTTCTGCTTCCGAGAGATTCTAAATATAAAATAAGCAGCTCAAAGGAAGATAAAACATATGATTACAGATAATAAGTGTTTGGTTATGTATTAACAGGCCATGTAAAATAGATTTAACATATTTACACATTAAAGACTAAAAAGTATAAAATAATTATAAATAAAAATAATTTATAAATATGTGGAGAGAATAAATACTTGTAAGATTTAAAACGAAAAACGTGGGGCGCATGCAATGGATAATAATAGTTCAATAGGTGAAGATAATTGTAAAATTAGTATGCGCCCCACGTTTTTCTTTAAATCTTCAAGTATTTATTCAATACATATTCTGTACTTTATAGTGCGTTTAAAAACGTTGCATTTTGAAAAAGTTTTTTTATATTTATAATTTATAATAGTAGTGATTTAATATTATGTACATATCTCATATCTTCTTCAGGGGTAAAAAGCAGTTTTGTATTCTTTGAAGACATTACGCCCAAAACCCGTACACACCTACAAATCGCTCAGCGACTGCGACTCTGACTCCCCTCAGAGCAGACCTGCTACAGTCGCTGTGTTCAGCCGCTAGCCGCTCCAGTCGCAGTCGCGTCAAGGACAATGGTAACATTTGAAACAACGCTAACCAGTGCTCACCTACTATCGCTGAGCTACTATCGCTCAACTACTATCGCAAGAGTCGCTTCAGGGACAATGCACCTTTACTGTGCTAGTTCTGGGTTGGTTTCGTGTTGAACTGTTTTGTTCGTATTAAGAAATGAGTGAGCTGAAGAAAAATAAGGAGGACGTTGCGGCAAAAGAAGAAAAACACAAAGGAAGAAGAACAGAATAAAAAACTAAACAAAATAATAGAAGACAAAATTAATACTGAGGATCTAATTTGCGAGATTGAAAAGTACCCGGCAATTTGAAATAGTATAACTAATAGGAGGAATTTGCCATTAAAATAGAAAAACTAAATTCTTGGCAAAGCGTTTTTAACAAGCATTTTCTGAAATAGTTGTACAGTGGTTATTGGTGGAGTGGCTCGTCAGTTGCCTGTACCATCAACTGCAGTTACCTGGCCGGTAACCGGTGGCGGCCACTAGTGGCCTCGTGTGAAAGAAAGGGCCCTTAGAGATCAGGGGCTAGAATTTTATTCATATGCCTACTATAATAATTGACTTGTTATCAGTGATGGAGCTATACTGGTACAATCCTCATAGGCTATTGTAGGAATACTGTAGAGCTGAGTAAATGGTCTTTCCCTCCATTTTAAAGTTTAACTATTAAAATCCTTTATAATGGAAAATTGGTCATATAAAACTTCCTTTTGGTTGAGTTTACTGAGGTGAATAACTCTTTTATGAACAGCTGACATACTATCTTACTAACTAAGTTACTGTAGTTTAAGTTTTTTTATGAGCAGATACGTACAGGTTTGGAGTCATAAAAACACCATGAGTATGTAACGAGAGACTACATTGCTCTATCAATCACTTTCTTATTTTACTTTTATCGTAGGCTTACTGAAAAGATTTAAAACTAATTAACTAGCCTAAATAAACTTTCAGAGAGAGCATACAGGAAGCGAAGAAGAGTATCAGAAAATCAAGAAATTGAAGACAGGTTGGAATCGCTTATTCTCAGAGTTGGAGAAAAGGTAGGCCAAGGAAATCTTACAAAGCTAATTATTACAGCCCAGTTCGTTTAGCTTAGTTGCTGTGAACATATGAAAAACCCGCTTTAAAATGCTATCATAATGCAACCATATTCCACCTAAAAATTCCTTAAGTATTTTTTACAGTAGCATATATTTAACCATCAGGATTGTAGTTTTGTTTCTATGATCTTATGAATTTAGACTTAGTAATGACATTGATTCAAGACTTCATGCCTCCAAAGAAAGTAATTACCATGGCAGTAGGTAGTGGAGGTTGTGCATAAAAGATCTACCTACCATCAATAAATAAAAAAATAAAAACACTGTTTTCACCTTTTCTTTGGATATGCCTAGCTACATAATTTTTCATAATTACACATATTCTTAGAAGTAATGTAGGCCTACAGTATTTCCAGCTTTAAAATATTTTTGTTGAGAATTATTAAATGTTGAACTTTTTTCACTTACCGTAGTTGGCAAGTAAAAGTCTTAGCTGTAAAACTTAATGCCTTCTCATTTAAAATTTTGTAGAAAGGATTACCTCTATAAGCTAACTGTTGTAGCCTATAAAAGTATTTTTTTACTCACAAAACATATCTAGAACCTGTACAAAAAACCTTTTTTGTATCAGAGCACTTCTTCATTGGAGAGCAACTTGGAAGGATTGGCAAGTGTACTGGAAGCCGACCTTTCAACTTTCAGAGCCAAAGTGCTGAGGATCTTGACTGATTGTGCAATCAAAATGCCGGAGAAATGTTCAATCTACACGACACTTGTGGGGTTGTTAAACGCCAAGAACTACAATTTTGGAGGCGAGGTGCGAAGTAGATTTTAACCATTTTAGAATAAAAAATGTTTAGATCAAATACTCTAGAAATATTTTTATAAGTAGTTCCACTAAATTCCAAGGAGTAAAGCTGTTTGCTCACTGAGGAATGTGCTTTCGTTATTTTTAAATTCAATAATTCTATTTCTTTATTCTGAAAAAGCCCCCCCCCTGTTGGGGGGAAATATCAAGTTAATTATGTTGAGAACTTTTTGTGCCCTTTCAACTCCCTGGAACTCTTTTAAGTTAGTCGTGTATGCATTCCTTTTTCCATAATGTGTTTCTATCTGCTTGTTCTTCCAAAATACTACAAAAATACTAAGTTTCATAAGGTTGAAACTAACTGGAATAGCGTTGAAACAAGTAAAAAAAAACTAAAAAAAAACTAGGTGCCGGTGTAAGATTTAAACATTTTAAACCAGCCATCATTTCATCACGTACAAAGATAATTTACAAATTGTGCATGTTGTACATGTGTAGTTTGTGGAGCACATGGTGCGCACACTGAAAGATTCACTAAAGGCTTGCAACTGGGACGCGGCCCGCTACGCCCTGAGGTTCCTAGCTGACCTGGTCAACTGCTATGTCATTGCTGCCAATTCTCTGCTCCAACTGTTGGACAACCTGCTGGACGTGGCCAAAGAGGATGGTGTCCCTAGTGTAAGTCCTTAGATTGATTTTGTATGTTTAAGCCTATGAGTGTTTTTTTTTTCATAACAGGCAATCAAAGTATGATTCAAATAAGATATGGACTTCAATTAAAATTTTTTAAAGTTTTGTCTGGTTGTGGTTTTATTACATACTCTCTTAACCAACCTGGATCAACACCGTCTCAGGTTAACCATCTCACTTCGAGCAAAAATAAAAGTTATTTCAACTGCCCTAAATTTCAAAACAGGCTAGTTTAACTGACCATTTTTTCTAGAGACTTCTGTGTCCATCATTATCACAGTAATGAAATCAAATTGTGTCCTTGGAGGACCAATTTTGTCGTAAACTTCAAAAAGTTTACTCACTCTTCGAGTAAATTTTAGAGCATGACGCAATTACAACCATGTGCTTGTTTAGATTAGTATCAACCTAGGCCTGATTCTGTTAGGGCCGGTTAAGAGAATTAGTGGGATCTTTCTCAGAAGAGGGCCGTCACTATTTAAAGTTTCCCTACACGATTAAATTGTTTTCAAATGAGTACCTGGTTTTGCGAGAGTCATAGATAAATGAAAACTATCCGCATTGTGCATATTGAAAGTAAGGTTCTTATCTCGTGTCACCCGGAACTCCGTGGCATTGGCCTGTCTGATTATTTCTGTTCAGTAAATAAAAAAAAATGTGTGAGTAAAGCTATAAACTAACTCAACCTAACCTAACATAACCTAGACTGTCGTTTTTCCACAGTTTTAAATAGTGGCGGCCCTCTTCTAAAAAAGACCCGAATAGTGTACTATATTTGATATCGTAAATTATAGATTTTGAAAGGAATCCAGTTCTAATATTCCCTAGCAGCTTAAGTGACAGTTGACATTGGTTGTGTAGGTTCGCAAGGACTGGTACGTGTATGCAGTGATGTCCTGCCTACCATGGGTGGGTCGAGAGCTGTACGAGAAGAAGGAGCAAGCCTTGGAAATGCTGATGGCCAACATAGAGGTGTATCTCAACAAGAGAGCCAAGAAACATCATGCGGCTCTGCGGGTGTGGTCCAGTGATACTCCTCATCCGCAGGAAGAGGTCAGTGAGACATACAGCCAAACTAAGAGTTTCTATTAAAATGTTGGATGGGGTTAGGTTACCAAGACATGAGTATGTAGTAAAGAAACTTAACGTACACACCTCTTCAATGAATGTCAGTTTGGTTAAGTTCCTGAGCAAGACCAACTGAGTAGCTGAGATAGCTTACTTACACTATTTAAATCCTAGTCTAAAATAGTTACCTCTGTATGAAGAAAGAAGCATTAGACTGGCTTTGGTTGAATACATGATCATAATGAGTGTATATGTGCGTGTGAATGGCATGAACAGTTAAGTCATTTTCACCTATCGTATCTACCATACAGTAGGTGAAAATTACATAACTGTTAAAATTTGATAAAGTTTCATCAATGGTTCCTACTTAAGAGTCCTTGGAGCCTAGACGTTCTAACTCATAAAACCATTAAAAAACTACTTAAAGAAAATTTATAATATCACAGTATACTAGATATTTAAATGACAATCAATCTGGTGTTTAAAAAAAAAATATTTTTTGACTGTAAATAACTCTTCAGCGGCTTTTTGAAATTAACTAAATTAACATTGCTTTTATAACGGACAAATCCAAGATAGGCATTAGCTTTCTGGACTCCCTTGGAGAAAAATACAAAACTGCTAGGAACATTTCAACATTTCTAATCTAACAGTATACTAGATATTTAAATTATAATCTCTTTGGTGATAGAAAAAATATTTTTGGATGATAAATAATTCTTCAGCAGCTGTTTGAACTTATCCAAGATGGCCGCTAGCGCTAGCCTCCAAGGACTCTTAAATTAAAAGTCGTTAAATGATAATAATAAGATGTTGAGTTAGGCCAATATAATACCTTCCTGTTTCTTAAAATACTACAGTTAAAATAATTAGGTACCAATAGAGTTGAAATTTCTACAAACATTAAAACACAATCTAATTTTAATAATAATTTTAAAACACAATCTTTATCTACTGTAAAAATTAAGTTGATTAAAGGTATTTGGTAATGTTGGCAGTACCTGGACTGTTTGTGGGCGCAGCTGCGTAAACTGAGGAACGACAACTGGACAGAGAAGCACCTGGTGCGGCCATACTTGGCGTTTGACGGAGTGTTGTGTGAGGCATTGCAACACAACATACCAACCATTCTGCCTCCTCCACATCACGACAGCCACTCCTACCCGATGCCTTGGGTCGTCTTCCGCATGTTCGACTACACTGACTGTCCCGAGGTATACTCCTTGCCAAATAGCAAATGAAAGGCTATGTATTCGTTGATATAATCAGCCGACAGCTTGGATAATTTTCACATAAGTTATCACAGCTGCTCAAAAGTTCCAAATGTTATAGTAACATTTTTTATCTTTTTCAGTTTCTTGATAGGCTAGTTAGCTTTATTCACTGCTTTGTTTGAGGTGTGAAAAATATTGTAGGAAAAAGTAATATTGTTAGATCAGTTTATAATTTAGAAGGCTATGACACTAATTTCAAATACTTGTCATGGTTGTCCACAGGGACCTGTTCTTCCAGGTGCTCATTCCATTGAAAGGTGGCTCATTGAGGAACATCTTCATCAGATCATCGAAATGTCTCACCTGGAGAGAAAAGACTGGTTAGTTTTTTATTTTTGTTGTTTGTTGATAACTTTTTTGAACTTGGTTTAAAATATTGATAACAGAAACATAAATTTAATAAAGATTTTTTTTATGTAATATTAGGTAGGCTTACTTGTAATATCAGTTAGGCTTAATGAATCAACTGTACGAAATTGAATTTTTCAAAGTTGATTTCTTAGGTAAGCCCAACTTATCCAAATAAAAATAGATATTTTTAGTAGGGATGGACGAGATTGGATTTTTAGTTCGAGACGAGACGGGATTTTTTATTTCTCATAAAATTTTGAGACGAGATCGAGACGGGATTTCCCTTCTCATACACAACGGGAAATGCACGTTCAAAATTTTTACCTGATTTTGTAACATTGTTAGATGACTGTTTAAATACAAAAATAATGATAATAGGCAAGAATATTTACAATCTTTTATTAAAAAACATCAGCATAACATTTTTTTATTAATCACGCCTAACTTATTAAAAATGCCTACGATTAGGAAACATAGTGATATCAGTTAGGATAGAGTTCAACTTATCCTAAAATAAAATAAATCATAAAATGAAAGCAATATTCATTTTGATAAAATAGTTAGGTAGGTACTTATTTTGACTTTGTATAGTAACAAAACATTCCTCACACTGCTTACACTTAACAAAACTTCTCAAATGTTATTAAAGTAATATTATTAAAATAATTAAAGTAATATTTACAATTAAAGAATTAATTCATTAAGAACACCTTCGCAAAGGAAACGCAACTACAACACGCTCCTGTATTGCGGGTATTGCATTGACTTTCTGCAGGCGTTTTTAATATTTTTTTTTTTTTTTTTATTCTCGTCTCGATAAAAATCTCGGCCAAAAAGAAATCTCATCTCGTGTAACGAGATTTAAAATTTCCCGAATAGGGATGGACGAGATTGGATTTTTAGTTCGAGACGAGACGAGACGGGATTTTTTATTTCTCATAAAATTTTGAGACAAGATCGAGACGGGATTTCCCTTCTCATACACAACGGGAAATGCACGTTCAAAATTTTTACCTGATTTTGTAACATTGTTAGATGACTGTTTAAATACAAAAATAATGATAATAGGCAAGAATATTTACAATCTTTTATTAAAAAACATCAGCATAACATTTTTTTATTAATCACGCCTAACTTATTAAAAATGCCTACGATTAGGAAACATAGTGATATCAGTTAGGATAGAGTTCAACTTATCCTAAAATAAAATAAATCATAAAATGAAAGCAATATTCATTTTGATAAAATAGTTAGGTAGGTACTTATTTTGACTTTGTATAGTAACAAAACATTCCTCACACTGCTTACACTTAACAAAACTTCTCAAATGTTATTAAAGTAATATTATTAAAATAATTAAAGTAATATTTACAATTAAAGAATTAATTCATTAAGAACACCTTCGCAAAGGAAACGCAACTACAACACGCTCCTGTATTGCGTGTATTGCATTGACTTTCTGCAGGCGTTTTTAATATTTTTTTTTTTTTTTTTTTTATTCTCGTCTCGATAAAAATCTCGGCCAAAAAGAAATCTCATATCGTGTAACGAGATTTAAAATTTCCCGAAATTTCGAGACTTGACCATCCCTAATTTTTAGATTTAGAGAGGTTATGATTCCGACCAGGTCAAGGAAAACTATGATTTACGACTTATGAGCAGTTTTTGATGTCATAAATAATTAGGCCTAATCCTGGAAATATGATTTGCTTATCTGCTGTGCTGTAACTTAATCCACTATAGTTAGGGAATCTGGTGGCCTCCTTTTCATTGATAACCTACATCTCAAATTTATCTGACAAAAACACCATAATTTTAAAGCTGTTCATGTTTTGTTTTTCATGTTGACAGCGCTGCCCATCTACTGGCGTTCCCATACAGGGCCAACATCCCTCTAGACTATTGCATTGTAGAGGCTATCTTCAGTGAGTTGTTCAACCTACCAACTCCTCGCTACTTGGAGGTCTTCTACGGCTCTCTGTTGATTGAACTGTGTAAGCTCGAGCCCGGGACTATGCCTCAGGTAATATGTCAAAATAATGACAAGTAAGGAAGAAATACTTTTCCTCATTTATAATTTTCTTGTACAGTTCCAAATTTTTTTTTGTAAATCATACCTTTTAATAGAGGCAAGGCTCTATCTAGTTTTCTTTTGTAATGGAGCAAAAATAGGAGTTGTGTTTGTCAATCAGCTTGAAAGTTGAAACTGCTGTTACGGCATCTTAATGCCATCATCAGACATGTAGACCTGCTTGATTAGTGTTTTACTTTTAATATATACAAATTTTAAACACATTCAAGACTTGTTTGATTTTATAATAAACTAGATGACCCGTGCTGCTCCGCAGCATTGAAATTAATAATAAAAAATAAAATACTAAACTTAATAAGGGCGGTACAACTTTAATTAAACTCTTATAGGGCTGCTGGATTAATTTCGCCTTATGACCAAATTAAAGTGTAACACATTAGATATAACACAGAGAAAATCGTCCCGATGTATTTTTTTCCGTTTTGAAAATCAATTAATCCAGAACAATATCCACACACTTCCTAAAAGCACCTACAGAGAAAGCACGTACATTTGTTAACTCATATGTAACACAGTGTGAATGAGGCTTTATTAAGAATGTTTTATTAACAACAATATTTCTTGTAAAATAGACATCTCTGTCGGTAGAATTGCATGTACGCATATTCTCAGGAGTAGTTCCCTCCATCTGATAATCTTTATTAATATTACGACTTTTATAATACTTCCTTCCAAACAATGTTTGCTGTTCGTCCACCTTTTGATTTAGTTTCTACTTTTACAGTATCGAAAGATTTCCCTCTCGATAAGGCGACGTACAACTGACCGTGACTAAATACTGGTTCAGGCAAGTACACACCAACTCAATCAATCGTTTGGCCCTGCGCCTTGTTGATGGTCATGCAGAACGCAACCTTTATTTGGAATTGTCTTCGTTTGAAAGAAAATGGTACTGTAGGATCTGATGGAGAGAGATCAATGCGGGGTAATAGTGCACGTTGTCCAATATTTGTGCCAGTTATGATTTCTAAGTCTAAACTGTTTTCATACATTTTCTTGACAATAAGTCTTGTTCCGTTTAGAAGACCTGCTGTGTAGTTTAAATTTCTTAATACCATCACAATGGCACCTTCCTTTAAGACTAATTTGTGAGAAGGCAAACCAGTCATCTCAAGGCTGTTGAGGAATTCAATAGGGAATTGCAATAGTTCACTGTCATCATCTGTAATTAGTTTATTCACACTTATATATGTTTTGCTTGAGCCTGGGATGAGGTCTAAAACTCTTTTATTGATTTCCTCACAATGCTCATTCTTTGGTGCTAAAATGGCACATTTTGATAAGTACGATGAGTCCATAGGCGTTTGTAGGTTTTTTCCATAAATTTCTGAAACTACGTCTGAATCAGAGATAAGTGGTGGGGGTAAGTCCACAGATTTGTCATCAATTGTTGGGTATTCCCCATTGCCAATTTCGAGCAAAAAGTTAGCAAAATCTAACTCATTAGTTTTAGCCCTCATATTTTTTGTTAATTTAAAAATTTTGAATAGTGGCCATAGGTATGAAAACTTAATTGAATTCTGAACAGTAGAGGCTCTAGATGAATGAGGCACAACCGGCAACATTTGCCGGAAATCCTGGACATGCATAACTTCAATTTGAAAATTCAACCATGAAAATTGGTCGAGTAGAAGAGCCAAACGAACTGGGAAATGAAAAACTAAATTTAACTACCAATAGAGCAAATTTATTTTACGTATAATCCGGGTTTGGACTGTAGCTACATATATTCCAATGCTTGATGGGACATCTGTGCGTACATACCCTCAATTTGAGACCTCAATCTTGAAAATCGGTCGGTTAGAAGAGCCAAACGAACTCGGAAAAGAGAAACAAAATTTAACTTCTATAAGAAATACATAGAGAGGGAATTTTTTTACGTATAAACCAAGTGGGGTTATAGATAAATATTTGCCGATGCTTGATGGAAAATCTGTGCGTGCATACCTTCAATTCGAGACCTCGATCATGAAAATCGGTCGGGTAGATGAGCCAAACGAACTCGGCAAAGAGAAACAAAATTTAACTCCCATAAGAAATACATGGGGAGCAAATTTCGTTTACGTAGAAATCACGTGGAATTATAGATACATTTATGCCGATGCTTGATGGCAAATCTGTACGTGCATACCTTCAATTCGAGACCTCAATCATGAAAATCGGTCGGGTAGAAGAGCCAAACGAACTCGGCAAAGAAACCCCAAATTTAACTCCCATAAGAAATACATGGGGAACAAATTTTGTTTACGTATAATCCGCGTGGGATTATAGATACATTTATGCCGATGCTTGATGGCAAATCTGTGCGTGCATAACTTCAATTTGAGACCTCAATCATGAAAATCGGTCGGGTAGAAGAGCCAATCGAACTCGGCAAAGATAAACCAAATTTAACTCCCATAAGAATAACATGGGGAGCAAATTTCTTTTACGTATAAGCCGAGTAGGATTATAGATAACTATATTCCGATGCTTGATGGCAAATCTGTGCGTGCATACCTTCAATTTGAGACCTCAATCATGAAAATCGGTCGGGTAGAAGAGCCAATCGAACTCGGCAAAGATAAACCAAATTTAACTCCCATAAGAATAACATGGGGAGCAAATTTCTTTTACGTATAAGCCGAGTAGGATTATAGATAAATATATGCCGATGCTTGATGGCAAATCTGAGCGTGCATACCTTCAATTTGAGACCTCAATCATGAAAATCGGTCGGGTAGAAGAGCCAATCGAACTCGGCAAAGATAAACCAAATTTAACTCCCATAAGAATAACATGGGGAGCAAATTTCTTTTACGTATAAGCCGAGTAGGATTATAGATAAATATATGCCGTTGCTTGATGGCAAATCTGAGCGTGCATACCTTCAATTTGAGACCTCAATCATGAAAATTGGTAGGGTAGAAGAGCCAAACGAACTCGGAAAAGAAAAACCAAATTTTTTTAATATATAAGATAGTGTTGTTATCAACAAAGCAGTTTCTTGTGCAAATACATGTAGTGCTTAAAAATATGTTCTAATTATACAAGTTCTAGCCTTTACACTTTTTATAGAATCATTCATCGTGTATCCTAAAATACTGCTCCTACTCCAAACAAACATTTAATATATTGTAGGATCTCCGGCATTGTTTACCTTAACTTTTTGAAAATTAGAGTTCAGAAGCACAGTGGCTGATTTGTTGTTTGGTTATTAAATTCAAGGTGTTCACTGTCCCATTACTATTACAATGTCTTGTAATGGTTAAAGTAAATAGATCTCCCCAAAACTGGGATTTCTATGCTTCCACAAACTCTCATTTGTTTAGGTACAAATTCTTTGCTGAATTCATGCTTAAGGGGCTGGTATAAGGATAATTTTAAATTTTTATTACGAAATACTGTCTATGTCCATTATGTAATATGTTGCGAAACACTTTGTTTTAGGTCCTAGCCCAAGCAACAGAAATATTGTTTTTGAGGATTGACACCATGAACACAAGCTGTTTTGATCGGTAAGTCATACATTTGTTGATTACCCTCTTTTAAGGGATTGAGATCAGCTAGCTTTCCTGATAAAGTTGTACAGTAGACTCCTTCTTATCTGGACACCTTTAAATCGGACATCAGTTTAACCGGACTACACTCAGCGGAAATGACACCTCTTTAACCGGACAATTGTTATCAGCGCATTGGTTTAACCGGACTAGATCGGCAGGAAGTAGGCAGTACTGAAACGTCTGTTCTTGTGGGAAATATTTGAGACCAGTGATCACGTGTCTTAATACAACGCTCTCCTAAATTTAAGTCGAATATCACAGTAAACAGTCCGTTTTAACGAGTTTTTGGGGACCTCGGTTTAACTGGATAACAGGTTTTCCAGTGTTCGGATAAGAGGGAGTCTACTGTAGTCCTAAAGCTAATGGGCAGAGGTGGGCGAGCCTGAGATTCTCCATTGAGCGGAGCCTACGCTTAATTTTAATTCATTTTACACAGTGGCTCACAATAATTTAATTGGTCACAAACCTTATTAATCAAAATCAAAATTATTTTGATTTTATGTTATGACGTAGAAATAAATATTAGTTTCTTTAGTAGGCCTGTGTAATAGCATAAAACATGTAGGCCTTGGGTTTACGTCATCTCGTTTTATTTTATTCTCCTGAAGCTTAGTGAGATCATAGACAAATATGGGAAAAAATATTAAAATTACAAACTATTACAACAATAGGTAACTTTATTTATCTTATTTAGTTAAAATGAACTTACTAACACATAGGCATAAAAGCTTCAGGGTTCAAATGTTTTCAATTGATTCAAATCATTCTGAGTTCAGAAACCCAAAACCACAATGTGTAAAAACAGTAGCCTATTGAGTTTAGTATAATTTGTATTTATCACAATGTTATCATGACTTAAATCTGTGATCACAGTAAATATCATAATCATCTACCAAGGTCACAGATACATCATCATCGTCTTCCACAATTGGGAAAACTCCTGAATATCTCTTGCAATAACAGACTTATCATAATCTTCCTCGGCAATTGCGGCCAATCCTGGGTTATCTCCCATAGATTGTTTCAATAATTTTTAAAAAATATTTTTCATTATCTTGAAGTCAAGTCTGATTTTATTGTTGAGTGAGAGTCAAATCGTCGTTTGTTATTATGATTATTGTTTGTTCAGGTTTGTCAACTGGTTCTCGTACCACCTGAGCAACTTCCAGTTTCGATGGAGCTGGGAAGATTGGAACTCCTGTCTGAGGTTGGACACAGAACTGCCTCCACCCAAGTTCATCAAGGAAGTCCTCCTTAAGAGTTTAAGGTTAGATGAAAGGCAATATATAATACTGAGGCACATGGCCCGTTACTCTGCACCTTTCCAAATTTAAAAAATATATCAAGACCATCAAAATACTATTGAAGTTTGTAGTTTCATTACTTGAGATGAGTAGATTTATTCTGATACCCATTGTAATAGAGGACAGAGTGTATAATTCATTGTACTTTTATATTCGTCACTGGATTCTCCAATTGAGATTGATCGATGTAATTTTTTTCAACTACTGCCCTTTTTGGAGTGTGCAATTTAAAGGAAAGTTGTCAGTTTTTCAAGATTTCATAAAAATGTGATAATTGGCCTGTAAAATCAAATCTTTTGCTGGTGTTCCTTTTTCTGACGTAGATCAATGTTTTGTTTAGGTTATCGTACTATCAGAGGATCAAAGAGATTGTGCCAGAGTCATTCGAGGCCCTCATCCCAGCACCCCCAGTGCCTCACTTCAAGTACCAAGGGGAAGGAGCTGGTGAGTGATTCTAAACTATTCATTCTTAATCCTAGATGGGTATTGCACGTAAATTTGACGTAGTGTGAGTTATTTTTATCGTCTTAACCCCCACCCCATCAACCGACAATACCCTCCTTCCGGCAGTGCTCTCAGCAGTCATTTGCCTTGCGATGGCTGCCTTGGTTGGGTCGTTGTGTTTATTTATGCACTTGCTAGTCAGTTTCTTGGAACGTATACGTCAAACTTACAAGTCAATACCCTTTGTGTATAGTAAAATTGCCGGCTTGTGTATGGTAAAACGGCCGGAAGTACGTCAAATTTACGTATTGATACCCTTAGTGTCACACTGTATGATGATACCTTACTATGCAATTCCTATATACGTCAAATTTACTAATTGATACCCTTAGCGTCATGCTGTATGACGATACCTTTCTAGGGTTAACAAACTGTCCTAGGTATGGACAAATAATTACAGTTAAATAATTGGGGATAGGTCTGTACTGGAAATTGATCTCCTAAGGTCAATCAATAGTCCAGTCACCTTTTATTCAATAAGCTCTCATCGACTCTGCCAATAATAATTATGTAAATCTCACAAGGACAAAGTAAACAACCCAAATACACAAAGTAAAAATTACTAATGAAAGAACGAGAACGGGAGCAATAATCCAAATAACAATTCTGATAGGGCTTTGTTTTACCCTCCTCTGGATATCAATAATGTTACTCCCGCTTGGTTTAACCTATATTAATAATCATGCATGAGCCTATGTTGTAAATCATCAGTACTGTAGTTGTAAATTTGTCAGTACGAGAACGCTTCAAGCCTACCATTTTCGCGGTAAAATACGGGTCGGCGGTCGCTTACCGCTTATAGGTTCTCTGGAAAAATCAGAATTACACTATACTATTGGTAAGGAAACCCACTTGCTGTCCCTCTCTATCAGCGAGCACATAATAATAATAATAATAGAGAGGACACGGCGTTTAACCAAATGCACTGAAAGTGTGGCCAAATCCGCCATCTTGGTCCGTCATACAGCCTGAATCCAAGACCCGCGAGCTCAGTTCGCATTAAAAACCCCGCGACAAATACACGATCATAAACAACATTAATAGTTGACAAAAAATTCTGAAATTTTGCACACTTGTAGATATGATACTGAGGAAAACGATGGTGTGAATATAAAATTATTAGTTATGATAGTAATCGAGTTATAAATATGTTTAACACTTCTGTAGTTTAATTTTTCAGATTCAGACATGAAAAAGTTGTATTGCGAGGAAATTTTTTATTTTTTGGTCAGAGAAATTTCGTCAGCGGGAAAGTTGTGGATAAATAACCAAATTTAACTATGCGATTCACCAAAAATTTTTATCATGTTCGGTTTTCTAAAAATTTGGTACAAAAGGGATCCATTGCCGCTGCTTCGCGCCACGCCCGCTGCACCGCCGGGCCGTCATCTGACTTTAGCGTGCAGTGTTTTAATGTTTTATTTATACTGTTGTACTGTAATATTGTATATATTAAAGAAATTTTTAAATATATTGTCTATGAAGAATTTTTAACCGATTAGCACAACTTTTTAAGGACTAATTAGCTTTCAATATCATCCAAGATAAACTAAAGATAATTCTGTAAGTTAAGTTAAACTTCCCAAATATATTTGTAAAAATACACTCAATTTATTGTCCCAGAAAAATTACATTTTATTGAGATGTTGCCTGATTTTATTTTTGTGAAAACTTTCGTTACTTATTTTACAGTAGTAGCGAACTCTAACATTGAAATATTTTTGAGCAATAATTTTAATTAGGTAGTAAACAAAAATCATTTTTGTCCATATTGTTTCATATCCTGAGGAATATGTACTATTTGGAAACAAATTTACTCCTACACATTGTCCAAGTACTTTGTTCGTCAAGTCCTCAATTACATTATTTCCTTTACACTAATATCATTAACTTTATATCTACACTATTCTCATCAAGCATAGCAGACGACTAGCGCGCTGCACACGCCGGGACTACTGTCGGGGAAATAAATATGTGCTTGAGTTTGAGCCTAAATATCTCTTGAGATTAATAATCCAATTTTGTTGAAACAAAAATAAAATATAAGCTGGTTTAAATACGTTTTACGTGGTAGCAATAAAAAAAAATCCGTTTACCAGAAAAAGTTATATTGTTGAAAGATCCTAAAAGTACCGGTTTTTAAGAAACTCTGCACTAACACTGAAGTTTAAAACTTAATTGTAAACAAACCAATGAGCCAATCTTTCTGAAATTTTTATGGCTTATTGGTAGATTTATTGTTAACAGTTCCATGCATTGTAAAATTTTAACTCACAATAGTTTTTATGCTGATGTTTATTTTTAAAACGTATGCTTACATAATAAGACGCTAAAAATTTCGTTCAAAATATCATCGTGTTTGTCGTGACACAAGAAATAACACCAATATGACAGATTAGTAATGCGAACAAAGGTGTTTTTTAAACAGATATATATTTGTAAAAACAAAAACTTATCCCGCAACTGGCAGGCCGATTAGCTCAGTGGTTTGTTTACAATTAAATTTTAAACTTCAGTGTTAGTGCAGAGTTTCTTAAAAACTGGTACTTTGAGGATCTTTCAACAATATAAATTTTTCTGGTAAACGGATTTTTTTATTGCTACCACGTAAAATGTATTTAAACCAGCTTATATTTAATTTTTGTTTCAACAAAATTGGATTATTCATCTCAGATTTTTCGGCTCAAACTCGAGTGCACATATTTATTTCCCCGACGAGTAGGCTAGCGCCGCCATCTTTGTCCGTTTCGCCGGCTAGTAAGACTGCCACGCTCCTGCGCTCCGAGTAGCGCTTCTATTTTGTTATGTGTTCGCTGCTCTCTATACTTGCAGATTACAGATTACTTGTTAGACATCAGGAACCTGAACATGACTTTCTTTTCATTTTAACATGCTTCACACTACACGGTTTGTTAACGCCAACGCCTCATATATGCATACCTATCTTTTACCTGTTAGTTCTTAGTCAGGGTGAAAACCAAGAGATCTATGGCTGAGTGAAGAAGTATAATTTTATCTTCCTTTTTTTAAAGATTTGTCTAGATCTAATTATGCATCCTCATAAAAGGTATACCTGGAATTACTCTGATGGTCATAAATATTACCATTTTGGACAGCGAGCAGTGAGCTGATGATACCTAAAAGACATCTTAATATTGAATGTGAGAAATCTGGTTTCTATAAATCCTCTTCAATATTGCGTTGACAAAGCATTTAGCGCCGAATGGCATGAACTGACAAATACCTGATATATTGAAATAAGCATTTGGATGTGAAAAGGTCACCATTGTTAAGATTAGGCTGTAGGCTAGACATGAGTCTATAACAAGGATTGCACTGAAGCAGCAATCATGTCAATAATTTGCTGAACCAGAAAGAGATCGAGTTAAAGCAATAATGTTAAAAATTATTTTTACTGTTACAAATCTTTCTATGTCGATTCTATGCTAGTTATGTAAACCTCCAGGTTGTGCGTGTGTATAATATATACCAGTACTTCTTAGTAATTCTTTGACAAGGGGTTCAAACTCTAGTCTTAACTACACTAACGACTCTGCTCCCCAGTCAGTTGGTAAATAATCAGTGTTTTATTTTATTTTTACAAAGAAATATTTATGTCACTACATTTTAGATTTTTTAGTGTGCTGCCAACTACTTTGTTTTAAGTTAAAGTGCCTGCCACAAACCGCCGTAGAAATATAGGACATTAAGAAATCTTTGTTCAAAAAAAGAAAAAAAAAATGTAAATTATTTGTTTGTTAGCCTTATATTGTATCAATTGGACCTCACCGACAAGTTTTATAAACTTGGTGAGGCCAAGCTGGTGTAATTTTCAGAATAAATATATTTGTATTTAATAAATCATATTGTGATTTGCTTGTGTGATTCATTAAACTCCTACATTCCCTTTAAAAGGAAAACCATTGCATGTATACCGTATTTAAGTTGTTATATTGAATATAACTGGTATCAGGTGTTGTGGTTGTATATCAATATTGCATGATGACGATTTAAGATAAGATTTATTCATTTGATGGCCAGGACAACATTTTTTGTCTTTTTTCAAAACTTGGGTAAGATTTAGGTAATGAAACCTATTTGTTAAGTATAGTAGCCCTAATTGATTGTAATAATGGTGTCTACAAAAAAATCCTGGTCATTTTCGACTGTTGCGGGGATATCATTATAGTCTCCCCTCTCCAGTGATCACAGAAATTGTATTATTGTCATCTGCAACCGCAATAAAAACGTGAATTCTGCAAACTCCACAGACACTTTCTGTTTTGTCCTATTGCAATCGTAAAAGCTTAGCTCGAAAAATAGAGCCGTTTGTGCACCTCTACAAATTATATATCTATACTATAATACGAGCGGTCCTCAAATTCAAAAAAGGTTCCTATGATTTCCTCTAACTTGTTAGGAATATCTTAGTTTCAGGCTAAAAACAATATCCAAGAAGATTTATTTATCACAATTTCTCACAAGAAGAAATAATATTGCCCCACCACAAAACAAAAATCAATCTTGAAACTGAGTTTTTATCCCTTTGGGATTGTAACCCCCAATCAGTAAATAAACAAACTCTATCCTGCTTAAATTATCTGGACAAGGGGCAAAGAAAAGCAGATTTATAAAAAATATGTATTTTTATAATAACTATAAAATAGTGCTATAGTCTTTATATGCATCTGAATACTTGTACCTACTCTCAGGATGTTTCCTAGTCTTTAGTCGACCTTCCTTGCCTTTAGCAGTTCTGTACGAGACGGACTTTGAGATACGATTGGCTATGATGGAAACAGTGTCTCCAGGAAATGTGACTAGACGGTAGTTCTGCTGCTTTGACTCTTGAGTGTCTGTGTCCAAGTTGTCTGCTGATGTTTTACGTGTTACATTTGTTGTTGTCTCTACACTCTTTTCCGTTGTAGTTTGCATTGAAA